CGGTAGTCCTATATTAAAGTAAACAAAAATAATATTGCTAAGTAAATAATCTTAAATAGAAAATAAAATTTATGTCATAAGCATAGGAAAATAAACCTCTTATTCCACGTATATCTTATAACCCAACATGTTTCAAGCAGTGTTACCCACAAAAGAGAACAAAACAGAGATAATATATGATTGGTATCTGTTCAACATTTTGCCTAAAGATTTTCATAATAGCGAAAAAAGAAAATTTTAACTAGTTATAGAAAAAATATAATATTAAATACGTGTTTATTTACCTGATTTTTGCCGTTTGAAATCTACAACAACTACACAAAAGTAAGCATATCAATTTATAAATGATCAAGACCCTTTTACGTTGTAATTAAAATAAGAAGAAAACCAATAGCAATTAAATATAACATATGTGCACAGCTTGGCATGGTCGGATATCAAAACTTCAAATTAAAAAAGAACGACTAAAATCAAGAATAACATATATTAAAATAGGACAATTTTGTTGTCTGCTGCATAACATTAAAAACAGCCTCAAGTATTGCTATGTTAATGTACACATAAAGAAATTCACAGATGAAATAATGCTAAATTATTTCAATTTATAATCATTTAACCTCACGTAAATATTAAAATGAGATATTCGTTTTCAAGTCTGATACTTGGGTTTTACTCTTTTTTCTTGTCAGTTTGTAAGGGTAGTTGTAATTTTTTACTGATACTTTGTCGTTAATTTGTTTGAGATTTTTGTTTGCTGGAAAAGTTGAAGAGCTAAACGTAATTTTTGTTTTGGTTTACTTGAGTTTGTGATTGTATTTGAGTTTGTTTGTATTAGAATTTGAGCGTCGACTTGTTCTTGTAATTTCGCTCGAGTTAGTTGTTTGTTTTAATTGTTTGGAATTGCAAAAAAAATCAATCGGATTTTTCTTTCAGTGTACTTAAATTTGTAACTGTATTTGAGTTTGTTTGTATTTTTATTCCAATTTCGGTTTCTAATTACAATTTGTTTGCTTTGCATTGTTGATATCGATCTATCACCATATAGGTTTTTAGTGTTCAAATACATCATTCAACTAAGTTTTGGTAGCATAATTTAAAAATTATTGTTTGATTAGTTAGTAAAAAAATAAAAATAATTGACTAATCAGATAATAAAATCATGAAGCAAAATTTCATACGAACTCACTTCCTCTATCGCTCTGGTCCTCTTCTTCATACACACTCTCCCTCTTTTGTCGCTCACAGACCATAAAGCACGCCGCAGGCTATACCGAGAGTCTGCCAGCGTAAGTAAGACAGTCACTATTCGCACGTTTGCTACAACAAGTAATTATGCAAAATCATTAAAATAAAAATTAAATTTTCATCACTTACAGCACTATTTTAAAGAATGGTTAGGACCTCCTTCCAGCGACGCGAGAAATTAAACAAACATACCAAAACTCAGGAAATAGAATGTGAAGAAAGAGATACCTCATAAAACACATCAACTCATAGTACCAAACGACTGTATAATAGACTAGCTCCAATATTCTGATCACCAATTCAGTAAATGCAACCTTGTTAGAAACATTAAAGAAAAAAAAAAACCACCGACCAAGCACTCCTGCAACCGAAGAAGATGAGTTCCTGCCATCAAATCGAACCACATATCTTCTTTTCTACTAAAGTGATCATAGAGTAGATCTCCTTGTAGCTCCAAATGAAACCTTTTTAAAACTTAATGTGATAGATGATGTAGAAATAGATAGCGTTGTAACTCTCTCCAACTCCATCAGAAAATTTTAAAAAATAAATTAGGCCTAAAAAAAGCAAAACTAAACTGAAAAATACGATAAAAGAAGGAAGACAAACCTCTTATTTCACGGATACCTCATAATTCACGTCTAAAAGAGTGTTACCAACAAAAAAGAATAAAACACAAGTGACACGCCTGGACCATCTTAAACTTTTTGCCTAAAGAGTTACACACTAAAAAGTTTAAAAAATTTTATCTACCAGAAAGTTAAAAAAAACATATTTATTTACCTTAAAAGTGCTCACTAATATTTATAATAACCTTCGGTAATCCTACATTAAAGTAAACAAAAATAATATTGCTAAGTACATATTTTTTTTTGAGATAAATATTGCAAGTAAATAATCCTAAATAGAGAAGAAAATATGTAATAGAAAATAAATTTTATGTCATAAGCATAGGAAAATAAACTTTTTATTCTACGAATATCTTATAACCCAACATGTTTCAAGCAGTGTTACCCACAAAAGAGAACAAAACAGAGATAATATATGATTGGACTCCCTTTTAACTTTTTGCCTAAAGATTTTCATAATAACAAAGAAAAAGAATTTTAACTAGTTATAAAAAAAATAATATTAAATATGTATTTATTTACCTGATTTTTGCCGTTTGAAATCTACAACTACACAAAACTAAGCATATCAATTTATAAATGATCAAGACTCTTTTACCTTGTAATTAAAATAAGAAGAAAATCAATAGCAATTAAATGTAACATATGCACAGCTTGACAAGGACATATATCAAAACTTCAAATTAAAAAAAAGACGAATGAAATCAAGAAGAACAGACATTAAAAAGGACAATTTTGCTGTCATCAACATAACATTAAAAACAGCCTCAAGTATTGCTATGTTAATGTACACATAAAGAAATTCACTGAGAAACTAATGCTAATTCAGTAAATGCAACCTTATTAGAAAGATTAAAGAAACAAAAAAAATCGCTGACCAAGTACTCCTGCAACCGAAGAAGACAAGTTCCCGCCATCACCAATATCTGCCATCAAATCGAACCACATATCTTCTTTTCCACTAAAGTGATCATAGAGTAGATCTCCTTGTAGCTCCAAATGAAACCTTTTTAAAACTCAATGTAATAGATGATGCACAAATAGATAGCGTTGTAACTCTCTCCAACTCCATCAAAAAATTTAAAAAATAAATTAGACTCAAAAAAAGCAAAACTAAATTGAAAAATATGATAAAAGAAGAAAGACAAACCTCTTATTCCACAGATACTTCATAATCTACAAACTAAAATACAGGTGACACTGCTGGACCATCTTAAACTTTTTGCCTAAAGAATTACATACTAACAAAATATAAAAATTTTGACTACCCAAAAAGATAAAAACACATGCTTATTTACCTTAAAAGTGCTCCATAAGATTGATAATAATCTTCGGTAGTCCTACATTAAAGTAAACATAAAGAATACTGCTAAATAAATAATTCTAAATAGAAAAAAATTATATATATATATTAGAAAATAAAATTTATATCGTAAGTAAAGCAAAATAAACCTTTTGTTCCACGAATATCTTATAAACCAACATGTTTCTAGTAGTGTTACCCACAAAAGATAATAAAAAAAAGATAATATATGATTGGACTCTCTTTAACTTTTTGCATAAAGATCTTTATAGTAACAAAGAAAGAAAATTTTAACTAGTTATAGAAAAAATATAATATTGAATACGTGTTTATTTACCTGATTTTGAGCGTTTGAAATCTACAACAATTACACAAATGTGAGTATATCAATTTATAAATGATCAAGACTCTTTTAAAATCAGAAGAAAACCAATGGCAACTAAATGTAACAAATGCAGGCATAGACGGATATCAAAACTTTAAATTAAAAAAAACGACTAAAATAAAAAAGAAAAGACATTAAAAGAGGACAATTTTGTTGTCTTCTGCATAACATTAAAAACAGCCTCAAGTATTACTATGTTAATGTACACATAAAGAAATTCACTGACAAAATAATGCTAAATTGTTTCAATTTATAATCATTTCTACTCACGCAAATATTAAAACGAGATATTCGTTTTCAGGGCTAATACTTGGGTTTTACCATTTTTCCTTGTCAGTTTGTAAGGGAAGTTGTAATTTGTTTGCGGTAATTTATCGTTATTGTGTTTGAGATGTTTGTTTGCAGGGAAAGTTGAAGAGTCAAATGTACTTTTTGTTTTGGTTTACTTGACTTTGTAATTGTATTTGAGTTTGTTTGTAAGGGTAGATGTATTTTGTTTGTTGTAGTTTCTCGTTATTGTGTTTGAGATTTTTGTTATCTGGAAAAGTTGAAGAGCTAAATATAATTTTTGTTTTGGTTTACTTGAGTTTGTGATTGTATTTGAGTTTGTTTGTAATTGTATTAGAATTTTAGCGCCTACTTATTGTTAAAATTTGTTATTTTAGTTTGTTGTAATTTCACTCGAGTTAGCTGTTTGGTTCATTTATTAGGAATTACAAAAAAATCAATTGGATTTTTGAGTTTGTTTGTAATTGTATTAGAATTTTAGCGCCTACTTGTTGTTAAAATTTGTTATTTTAGTTTGTTGTAATTTCACTCGAGTTAGCTCTTTGTTTCATTTATTAGGAATTACAAAAAAATCAATTGGATTTTCCTTTCAGTGTACTTGGATTACTAACTGTATTCGAGTTTTTTTGTATATTTGTTCCAATATCGGTTTCTAATTATAATTTGTTTGCTTTGCATTGTTCATATCGATCTATCTTCGTGCAGCTTTTTAGTGTTCAAATCCATCCTTTAACTAAGCTTTAGTAGCATAATTTAAAAATTATTGTTTGATTAGTCAGTAAAAAATTAAAAATAATCGACTAATCAAATAATAAAATCATAAGGTAAAATTTCATACGAACTCGCTTCCTCTGTCGCTCTAGTTCTCTTCTTCGTACACACTCTCCCTCTTTTGTCGCTCACAGAGCATAAAGCACACCGCAGGCTATACCGAGAACCTGCCAGCGTAACTAAGACTGGCACTATTCGCAGGTTTGCTACAATCAATAAATATGCAAAATCATTAAAATGAAATTTGAATTTTCATCACTTACAGCACAATTTTGAAGAATTGTCAGGACCTCCTTCCTTTTGCCAGCGATGCGAGAAATAAGACAAAAATACCAAAACTCAGAAAATATAATGTGAAAGATAAGAAGAAAGAGATCTCTCATAAAACACAGCATCTCATAGTACCAAACAACTGTGTAATAGACCAGCTCCAATATCCTGATTACCAATTCAGTAAATGCAACCTTATTTGAAACATTAAAAAAACAAAAAATAACCACTGACCAAGTACTCCTGCAACCGAAGAAGACGAGTTCCCGTCATCACCAGTATCTGCCATTAAATCAAACCACATATCTTCTTTTCCACTAAAGTGATCATAGAGTAGATCTCCTTGTAGCTCCAACTGAAGAAATCACATTTTAAGATTGAAGATTAAGTTTAAGAATGATTAAAGAAAGAGAGAGAGAGAGAGAGAGAAAGAGAAGAGATACTGAGTGTTTTAGGAAGCCACCAACCAGAATTGAGCAAGTTCTCAGCTTCCCGTATGTGGACAGGTGTGGAGGAAATATATCAGGATGATCACTGAATAGTGAAGGGAACATTTCATCATACTGAAGATGCAAATATTGCAACAATTGAAAGAATAAATGAGAAGTATGCAACACAGATAATAAAATAATGAGGTAAAATTTCATACGCACTCTCTTCCTCTGCCGCTCTGGCTCTCTTCTTCGTACAAACTCTCCCTCTTTTGTCGCTCACAGACCGTAAAACATGCAGCAGACTATACTGAGAATTTGCCAGCGTAAGTAAGAGAGCCAATATTCTCATGTTTGCTACAACCAATCAACATACAAAATCATTAAAATGAAAATTTAATTTTCACCACTTACAGTGCAATTTTGAAGAATGGTTAGGACTTCCGTCATCTTGCCAACGAGTAAGAAAAAAGACAAACATATCAAAACCCAAAAAACATAATGTGAAAGACAAGAAGAAAGAAATACCACATAAAGCATAGTAGCTCTTCGTACCAATTCAGTAAATGCAACCTTGTTAAAAACATTGAAGAATCAAAAGAAACTATTGACCACTCCTGCAATCGAAGAAAATAAGTTCCCGCCATCACCAGTATATGCCATCAAATCGAACCACAGATCTACTTTTCGACATCATGCAGTAGATCTCCATTTTAAGCTCCATCAACTAACTTTTTAAAACTAAATGTGATAGATGATGCTAAAATAGATAGCGTTGTAATTCTCTCCAACTCCATCAAAAAAATTTAAAAAATAATTAGGCTAAAAAAGCAAAAAAATAGAAAAATATAATAAAAGAAGGAAGACAAACCTCTTATTCTATAGATACCTCATAATTCACATCTAAAAGAATGCCACCAACAAAAGAAAATAAAATACAAGTGACACATCTGGACCATCTTAAACGTTTTTCCTAAAGAGTTACACACAAACAAAATATAAAAATTTTATCTACCCAAAAAGATAAAAATATATGCTTATTTACCTTAAAAGTGCTAACTAAGATTGATAATAACCTTTGGTAGTCCTATATTAAAGTAAACAAAATTAATATTGCTAAGTAAATAATCCTAAATAGAAAAGAAAATATGTAATAGAAAATAAAATTTATGTCATAAGCATAGGAAAATAAACCTATTATTCCATGTATATGTTATAACCCAATATGTTTCAAGCAGTGTTACCTAAAAAAAGAGAACAAAACAGAGATAATATATGATTGGTCTCTATTCAATATTTTGCCTAAAGATTTTCATAATAGCAAAGAAAGAAAATTTTAACTAGTTATAGAAAAAACATAATATTAAATACATGTTTATTTACCTGATTTTTGCCGTTTGAAATCTACAACAACTACACAAAAGTAAGCATATCAATTTATAAATGATCAAGGCCTTTTTACGTCGTAATTAAAATAAGAAGAAAACCAATAGCAATTAAATGTAACATATGTGCACAGCATGGCATGGACAGATATCAAAACTTCAAATTAAAAAAGAACGACTAAAATCAAGAAGAACAAATATTAAAAGAGGAAAATTTTGTTGTCTTCTGCACAATATTAAAAACAGCCTCAAGTATTGCTATGTTAATGTACACATAAAGAAATTCATTGGCGAAATAATGCTAAATTATTTCAATTTATAATCATTTAACCTCATGCAAATATTAAAATGAGATATTCGTTTTTAGGACTGATACTTGAGTTTTACTCTTTTTTCTTGTCAGTTTGTAAGGGTAATTGTAATTTTTTACCGGTATTTTGTCGTTATTATGTTTGAGATGTTTGTTTGTAGAGAAAGTTGAAGAGCTAAATGTAATTTTTGTTTTGGTTTACTTGAGTTTGTGATTGTATTTGAGTTTGTTTGTAATTGTATTAAAATTTGAGTGCCTACTTGTTGTTGTAATTTTGCTCGAGTTAGTTGTTTGCTTCATTTTTTTGGAATTGCGAAAAAAATCAATTGGATTTTTCTTTCAGTGTACTTAAATTTGTAATTATATTTGAGTTTGTTTGTATTTTTGTTCCAATTTCGGTTTCTAATTACAATTTGTTTGCTTTGCATGGTTGATATCGATCTATCCTCATATAGGTTTTTAGTGTTCAAATCCATCCTTCAACTAAGTTATGGTAGCATAATTTAAAAATTATTGTTTGATAAGTTAGTAAAAAAATAAAAATAATTGACTAATCAGATAATAAAACCATGAGGTAAAATTTCATACGAACTCGCTTCCTCTGTCGCTCTGGTTCTCTTCTTCGTACACACTCTCCCTCTTTTGTCGCTCACAAACCGTAAAGCATGCCGCAAGCTATACCGAGACCCTGCTAACGTAAGTAAGACAGCCACTATTCGCAGGTTTGCTATAACAAATAATTATACAAAATCATTAAAATAAAAATTAAATTTTCGTCACTTACAGCACAATTTTGAAGAATGGTCAGGATCTCCTTCCTTTTGCCAGCGACGCGAGAAAAAAGAAAAACATACCAAAACCCAGGAAATATAATGTGATAGACAAGAAGAAAGAGATACCTCATAAAACACAGCAGCTCATAGTACCAAACGACTGTATAATAGACCAGCTTAAATATCCTGATTACTAATTCAGTAAATGCAACCTTATTAGAAACATTAGAAAAAAAAACCACTGACCAAGTAGTCCTGCAACCGAAGAAGACGAGTTTCCGCCATCACCAGTATCTGCCTTCAGATCGAACCACATATCTTTTTTTTCACTAAAGTGATCATAGAGCAGATCTCTTTGTAGCTCCAAATAAAACTTTTTTAAAACTTAATGTGATGGATGATGCAGAAATAGATAGCGTTATAACTCTCTCCAACTCCATCAAAAAAATTTAAAAAATAAATTAGGCTTAAAAAAAGTAAAACTAAACTGAAAAATATGATAAAAGAAGGAAGACAAACCTCTTATTCTACGGATACCTCATAATCCACGTCTAAAAGGGTGCTACCAACAAAAAAGAATAAAACACAAGTGACACGTCTGGACCATCTTAAACTTTTTGCCTAAAGAGTTACATACTAACAAAATATAAAAATTTTAACTATCCAAAAAAATAAAAACACATGCTTATTTACCTTAAAAGTGCTCCCTAAGATTGATAATAACCTTCGGTAGTCCTACATTAAAGTAAACATAGAGAATATTGCTAAATAAATGATTCTAAAGAGAAAATAAAACTTATATCACAAGCAAAGCAAAATAAACATTTTGTTCCACGAATATCTTATAACCCAAGATGTTTCCAGTAGTATTACCCACAAAAGAGAACAAAAAAGAGATAATATATGATCGAACTCTCTTTAACTTTTTACCTAAAGATCATAGTATCAAAGAAAGAAAATTTTAACTAATTATAGAAAAAACATAATATTGAATACGTGATGGATGATGCTGAAATAGATAGCATTGTAACTATCCCCAACTCCATCAATTGAATTTTAAAAAATAAATTAGGCTTAAAAAAAGTAAAACTATACTGAAAAATATAATAAAATAAGGAAGGCAAACCTCTTATTCCACAGATACCTCATAATCCACGTCTAAAAGAGTGCTACCAACAAAAAAGAATAAAATACAAGTGACACGTCCGGACCATCTTAAACTTTTTGCCTAAAGAGTTACATACTAACAAAATATAAAAATTTTGACTACCCTAAAAGATAAAAACACATGCTTATTTACCTTAAAAGTGCTCCATAAGATTGATAATAACCTTCGGTAGTCCTACATTAAAGTAAACATAAAGAATATTGCTAAATAAATAATTCTAAATATAAAAATATATGTATATAAATACAAAATAAAATTTGTATCGTAAGTAAAGTAAAATAAACCTTTTATTCCACGAATATCTTATAACCCAACATATTTCCAGCAGTGTTACCCACAAAAGAGAACAAAAAAAAAAAAGATTGGACTCTCTTTAACTTTTTGCCTAAAGATCTTCATAGTAACAAAGAAAGAAAATTTTAACTAGTTATAGAAACAACATAATATTGAATACATGTTTATTCATCTGATTTTTGCCGTTTGAAATCTACAACAATTACACAAAAGTAAGCATATCAATTTATAAATGATCAAGACAGCCACTATTCGCACGTTTGCTACAACAAGTAATTATGCATAATCATTAAAATAAATATTTAATTTTCATCACTTACAGCACAATTTTAAAGAATCAAGACCTCCTTCCTTTTGCCAGCGATGCGAGAAACAAGACAAACATACCAAAATGCAGGAAATATAATGTGAAAGACAAGAAGAAAGAGATACCTCAAAAAACCTAGCGACTCATAGTACCAAACCACTATATAATAGGCCAGCTCCAATATACTGATTACCAATTTAGTAAATGCAACCTTATTAGAAAGATAAAAGAAGCAAAAAAAACGGCTGACCAAGTATTCCTGCAACTGAAGAAAACGAGTTCCTGCCAGCACCAATATCTGCCATCAAATCGAACCACATATCTTCTTTTCCACTAAAGTGATCATAGAGTAGATCTCCTTTTAGCTCCAAATGAAACTTTTTTAAAACTTAATGTGATAGATAATGCACAAATAGATAGCGTTGTAACTCTCTCCAACTCCATCAAAAAATTTTAAAAAATAAATTAGGCTAAAAAAAAACAAAACTAAACTGAAAAATATGATAAAAGAAGAAAGACAAATCTCTTATTCCACAGATA